CCGCCTGTCCAGTCGCAGTCACAGCTACCGCCTGCCTCGCCGCTTCCTGGTCCTCCTCCCTACACTGGTCCGACAGGCGGTCTTACAGAGCGTCGTGAGCCTGAGTCTCGTCCTGTGTCGCCTGTGTCCCGTCCGGTGTCACCTGTTCGTACTGCTTGCGCTAGTCGCCGTGTACCACGTGAGCGTCCGCCACCTGTCCCTGGCACACACCGGATGTCACTGCGTCCCTCCACTGCTCCACAGCGTGTCCCTCTGCCGTCTCCTCCTCCGTCCTCTCTTCCTGCCCTTGCTGACCCGGAGTCTGACTCCGTTCGTGCTGCCAGTCCTACTGTCACGCGTCTCCTGGTTACTGCTGTCACTGACCCTTCCTTTGAGTCGGCTGCTGCGTCTGCCCTAGTTGCTGAGCTTGTCGACTTTGCTGCTCGCTGTCGTCTAGACTACGCTGCCAGTCTTGTTGCTGAGTCTGAGTCTGTTTGTCCTCCGTCCGTCGGGGGTGAGTGTGCTCTAGGCACGGACGTCCTTGAGGACAGACAGGAGGACCTTGAGTGTCTTGCAGCCGCTGCGCCCCATCTCGTGTCCATGCTGATTGCCCCTGAGGGAGACCCGGATGCACCAGACATCCCGACTCCTCGATCGTACGCTGAGGCGATCGAGGGTCCCTACTCCTCACAGTGGCAGTCAGCCATGGACGCAGAGATGGCTTCCTGGAAGTCCACAGGCACCTACGTCGACGAGGTTCCCCCTCCTGGGGCGAACATCGTCAGTGGCATGTGGATTTTCAGGGTGAAGCGGCCGCTGGGTTCTCCGCCTGTCTTCAAGGCTCGTTACGTTGCTCGAGGCTTCAGTCAGCGAGAGGGAGTAGACTTCTTTCAGACCTTCTCCCCCACCCTGAAGATGACCACTCTTCGGGTACTACTGCACGTTGCTGCTCAGCGTGACTACGAGCTTCACTCTCTTGACTTCAGCACAGCTTTCTTGCAGGGCAGTCTGCACGAGGAAATCTGGCTGCGCCGCCCTCCTGGCTTCACTGGGTCGTTTCCTCCTGGTACCTAGTGGAGCCTCCGGCGGCCGGTCTACGGTCTCCGCCTCGGGCCGCCTGCGCGCGGTTCGGGCGGCTGTGCCAGGCCCGTGGGCGGCCCGTTCTTCGCTGCCCCTGCGCTGCCCGCTGTCCCCCGTGCTTCTGATGGCGCCCCACCCTTGCTACTGCCCGTTCTCCTGAATTAGGGTTTGGGGGTGGGGGGCATGGGGGTGCAGCTTCTGTGTGCCGTCCCCTGCTCCTCCTCCTCCTCCGTCTCCCAGTGCTGCAGCTGCCGCTGAGGGGGGTGGACCTGTTGGAGCCGTCGGAGTGGTACTAAGGGGGGTGAAGGGGGAGTGGAGCTAGGGGTGAAGCAGGGGGTGTGTGTCAGGGGGAGTGGGACTGTTTGGGGAGGTTGAACTGAGGTTGCCGTCGTGTCGCCAGCAGCACCTGTAGTCCGGGGAGTTGCTCCGGTAGCCCAGTCGCAGCCAGCTGTGCCAGTCGCCCGTGGGTCCGTTGCTCGTCTGCCGCTACTTTTAGCCGCGGAGCCAGTTACTCCAGTAGTCCGGAGCGTTGTTCCGGTAGCCGCTGTGCCAGTGTGACTCCTGTTGCCCGTGTGTCTGCAGCTTCAGCCGTCGCCTCCTATCTCCTCTCCTCTCACTCTCGCCTCCTCCTCCTCACTTGCCCTCTGCGATAGCCTCTAGCTTTGCTCATAATTGTGAACTTTAAACTATTGCTTCTTGTACTTGTGCTCAGAATGTGTGGTGACATTGTGATCCACCCTGAGCTTGTTCTGCTTTGCTTGCTCTGCTGATTACACCCCACTTTGGCTATGGGGGTGTGTCAGAATGTCATTGTTCTCTAGCCTGCAGTGGGGTACTCTATAGCGAGTACAACCCCTTAGGGTTTCCTATATGTATCCTGCTGCTTTCTAGTGAACCCCTCTTCTTCTTTGCCTAAACTGTTTCTTGCCTAGCTAGGGCTTTCCTAGCTATGGCGCCTTCTTCTACTGCCTATCTTCACAAGCAGCACTTGATGTCATTTTCTACGAGCGACTCACACTTCCGACGTACCTCGCCAACCTGGAAGAAGACCGGGACCCCATAGGTGGTTTTCATGGTGACTGAGCCTTCGCCTCGGCAGCAGACGAAGCTGACTGGGACGAGCAGAACGTGGATGAAGCCTCGGAAGAAGCCGGGCCTCTTCCTTACTGCTTCGTCGACGTCCCGATGGACGACGAAAATCCCCGCGAAAGCATCAACGCCGAAGCCTACTACCACTTCGCCGACAACGGTTACGTTACACCTGCAAGAGTCAATACCAACGAAGCAGAACGCATAGGACCCAATTTCATACCTGACCCAAAAGCGGGAGACGAAGCAGCTTATCCCGAGGACACGACACTTCCCCGCTACACACAGAGTGGCCTCCAGATACTTGGCCTCGTCACCGCAGTCCACGAGACGGCACCTCCTACGGAGCCTACCACAGTTCAGCAGGCTCTGGGGGGGGAGCATAGGGAAAAATGGCATGAAGCCATGGACAGGGAGTTAAAGGCGCTAGAAGAGCGCAACACCTGGAAAGTAGTTCCCATCGGCGTGGCACGAAACAAGACAATCCTTTCCGGAAAATGGGTCTCCCGTGTAAAGACAAAGGGAGACGGCACTATCGACAAATGTAAGGCACGCTGGGTCGTACGTGGCTTCGACCAAGAGCACGGACGCGACTTCATCGAAACATTTGCTACAGTTAGTCGACATACATCACTGCGGATTCTCCTCGCGATAGCCGCTATGAAGAAGAAGAAGCTGCGGCAGATCGACGTCGCCAACGCTTTTCTCTACGCACCTGTTAACGCTGAGATCTTCATCGAACTACCACACGGCTCCAACGCAAATCCCAACCAAGTGTGCCAGCTGCTGAAATCCCTGTACGGCATTAAACAGGCCCCGAGACTGTGGCAACAGTACCTACACGCTAGACTCATCCGCATCGGATTTCGCCAACTACCACATGACCAGGGCATGTACCGGCTCACGAAAGGTGACAAATACATTCTGCTCATCGTCTACGTGGACGATCTGCTCTACATCGGCTCGACCGACGACGTCACTACCTGGTTTGAAGGGGAGCTACAAAAGGACCTTACTCTCACGGTCTCATCCACCGTCACGCAATACCTCGGCCTCAACATCCAAGAAGAAGAGAACGCAATCTACCTCAGCGCTGCGAAGTACGCCGACACCATTGCCAAACGCTTCGGACTCACCCCAGCCGCCATCTCAACGCCATATCGCTATACTACCAGAAACCACAATGAAAGCTCCACTCTACTTAAGCCCGCCGGCATACGCGACTACCAACGAAAGCTGGGATGCCTCCTCTTCGCGGCCGTCACCTGCCGACCGGACCTATCGTACTCGGCGAGTCAGCTCGCCACCTATCTCAAGAACACATAACGGAGCACATGGCGGAGCTCGACCGTGCACTTCACTACCTCGTCAGCACCCCGACGATCGGCTTAACTAATCACAAGAACGGAACCACGACACCTAAGCTGGTCGGCTACGTCGAAGCTGACCACGCCGGCGATTCTGACAACAGGCGCTCGCGCACCGGCTTCGTCTACGGATTCGAACCTATCGGGTCCATCTCGTGGCAGTCGAGCAAACAAGAGTTAATTGCTCTCTCCTCAGCTGAAGCGGAATATATCGCACTCTGCTCAGCCACCAAGGAAGGAGCGTACCTTCGCAAACTGCTAGAGGAAGCGAAGCTGGCCCAGTTACCCAACTTCTCCCTGTTCTGCGACAACCAGTCAGCAATTCGGATAGCCAACAAGAACGGATTCGCGAACAGGACGGAACACATCGCCTTGCGATATTTCTTCGTGAAGGACGAGATCGAGAAGGGGAGACTCGAGCTGCCCCACGTCCGAGATGGCAGCTGACTACTTGACCAAGAAGCTCGGAAAACAGAAGCTCGAGTACTGCATGCTGCTGACTGGACAAAGCCACGTCACCACCAGCAACACTCCAGAAGTGAAGTGGAGTGTTGGAAACAAGTAATTTAAGCGCTTCTGTTGTGTGTCGAAACACTAAGTTGTAAACGAGGCGAAGCACAACGAAGCATCGGCGAGTCAACACTTGGAGGTTGAGAAGAAAAGCAACCGCTGGAGGTTACGCGAAAGTCAAAGGTCAGCGACATTTGACTTGACAAATACAGCGCGACAGCAAGGACAAACAACTGACTCGTTATTGAGCAGTTGCCTGAGTCGGCACTGTATCGAATCGCAACAGCAACAGTAAAACAGTTATTAGTTGTATCTCTTCATATTCCTTGTACTCTTATAAAAACCTTGTATTTCCTTGTTCTAATCAATCTACTTTGCCCTCACATACCAGCGCAAGGTGGTTCAAGGACTTATAATTAAACGCTTCCGCTATTACAACTTCCTATTCACAGTTTAGCCCTGCAAAGATCCTAAGGGATTTTCTCAGCCCAACATCAGTCATTTGATATTCACTCTGATCTAAGGTCAGGGGCCCACCACTACCACACATTCTCTGCGAACCTTCTTGAGGTGATTCTAGGGACGATCAACTTATAAGCGCAAAAGTAATATTCATGTTCCAATCCACTTTCGAGGCCAATGTGTGCTGTGCTTGAACTTCTAAGAGCGTATTCCTATCCTCGTATCAAGAAAACCTCGTATCAACCTCCCACTAAAAATTCCCCTAAACCCAAAACCTCTCGCTACTTTTACCAGGCAAAAAGTACAATCTTGATATGAGGTTTTCTTGATACAAAGATAGGAATACGTTCTAATAACATGTCCTCAATTTATACTTCTTAAAAGAAACAAATTTAATATCATAAGTCCCTGAACTTATGAACTTCTGACACTATGTTTAGACTCCCCGCATTTTTTGTGTTAAGACCCTAAGATCTTACATCCATGGGATTATGGTACTGTAGACCCAGTGCATTATTGGTGGCCAGAAGGGTGGGGGGAAAGAGAGGGGAGGGGATGGATAAGCTGCAGGAAAGATGTCACTTGGTGGATGCGGGCAGGAGCTTCAACAGCTGCACCGCCCAGGAGAGCAGGTACTGCAGGGAGGGAGCACGGGGAGTGCGGTGACGGGAGAGGACAGTGCAGCGATGTGAGAGGGGTCTGGGCAATGTGGTGAGAAGTAAGGGCGGACGATCATTTGGATGGGTGCGCAGTCAGAGGAAGACGCATACCGGGCAGTCCCGCATGTAGTGGTGAGAGAGCAGCGATGCACACACGCACGCACGCACGCACGCACGCACGCACGCACGCACGCACGCACGCAAGCACGCACGCACACGCACTCACACGCAAGCGCGCACGCGCGCAGAGGACAGAGCAACAAAAAACATGGAGCAGAGGAACTCACAAGGGCAGCAGAGGCACTCACAAGGGCAGCAGAGGCACTCACAAGGGCAGCCGAGCCTGGCTTGAAGGACGGCTCGGGGATGTCCCTCACGAACCTGGGGGTGCATGGATGGATGGGCCGTGCAAGGTGGAGCGGAGCGGGATGAGAGGAGCAGCGGGAGCAGCGGGATGAGAGGTTGCAAGACGCATGGAACATGCAGCAGCAGGACTGGTGCTCACAGGCCCAAGGGGCAACGAGCATAGCGTGGGCGTTCCAGCACATGGGTCATGTGGACATTCATGCTGCATGCTGCATCCACATGCCATGCTCGAATCCGCGCACGTGTGCTGATTTAATGTGGGCCAGTGATTGACTGTGACGTTGTGCATGCGTGCATGTGCCATGTCCATGCCACAGTGCACTCACACAATGCGCAGAGCACCGTTCTCGGGCTGGCAGCGAATGAAGGAACAGCCGCGGCTGAATGGGAGAGGCCGGCCGTCCACCTCTGACGACGAGACGATGGGGAAGGGTGGAGGGGATGGGAGGAGGGAATGGGAGGAGGGAATGGGAGGAAGGAATGGGAGGAAGGGGATGGGAGGAGGGGATGGAGGAGGGGATGGGATGAAGGCAATTAAAGGAGGCAAAAGAGGGGGCGATTTGCACAGGAGAGGGGGAGGAGTGGCATGAAAAGTGTGGCTTGCCTGCATGCCACATCACCCCACCTGCGAGCCTCATCACCCCACCTGCGTGCCACATCACCCCACCTGCATGCCACATCACCCCACCTGCATGCCATGTCACCCCACCTGCGTGCCATGTCACCCCACCTGCGTGCCACATCACCCCACCTGCGTGCCACATCACCCCACCTGCGTGCCACATCACCCCACCTGCGTGCCACATCACCCCGCAGGCACGGGTATCCCCGGTGGAGATGTCGTCAATAATGAAGGCCACTCCGGGCGGCATGGCGTGCAGCACGCGCCTCAGGTGCTGCTCCACCGCCTGGGGGGCACGTGGGGTGTGTGGTCCGTGGTGGGGGGGGCGGAGCACGGGGAGGAGGAGAGGCGGAAACAGGACGAGATGGGACGGTGGCATACGTGGTAGGGGAGCAGGAGGTTTTGGAGGGTTTCAAACAACACTTCCAAAGCCTTGCAGCTTGCATGGCAGCTTGCATAGCTGCTTGCATGGCAGCTTGCATGGCAGCTTGCATGGCAGCTTGCATGGCAGCTTGCATGGCAGCTTGCATGGCAGCTTGCATGGCAGCTTGCATGGCAGCTTGCATGGCTACTTGCATGGCAGCTTGCATGGCAGCTTGCATGGCAGGCGGGGCAGCGGCGCACCTGTTTGCCGTGGAGGGCATCGCGGTAGATCATATCTTGGTACTCACACCGCTCCGCCATGCACGCCACTGCGCCCGCCACGTCCCGCGCGTTCACCGCCGCGTACATCCGCTGCGCCACCTGCCACGCCTCCCAGCCATGCTGCCCCTCGCCCCCACCCTTCTTCCCGTCCGCCTCTCCTTCCCCGTCCCCCTCCCCACCTCCTCCTTCCGCGCCCCCCATAGTCGCTCGCACGGCGCGCCACCTCCGCGCCCCCTGATGCACGTGCGCGCCCATCATCGTCTCCCTGCGCGCCCGCCCTGCTGCGCGCGGCGGAACCGCGAGAGCGACAGAACCCTCGCCGCTGCTGCCGGATGCGACGGTGGCGGAGGCAGTGCGGCCGATGAGGGCGTGGCAGGGGAGAGGGCGTGGCGGCAGGGGGAGTGACAATGCGGCAGAGGCCGCCATGAGTGCGCGCGCTGCTTGCTGTCCGCCGCTGCTAGTCACGTGCTGCTGCTCTGCCGAGTGCGCTGAACGTCCGCCGCCTGCGCTGCCGGCGCGCTTCACAATCGTTTCAGCGCGACGCTCTGGGTTGGCGTCACACACGACACTCGCAGGTTCCCTGTGACGCGCGACGGCAATTCCCGTTCGTCGCCTGGTTGTTGCCCTGAGAAGATGCAAGCCTCAATTGGAAGGCCGTGTTTGCTCATGATTTTGAGAATACTAATAAAGTTATGAATGAACTAAGGGCATATCTTTGGTTCCAGTCATGAGCACTATTCATTCTACTGTTTGGGGCATCCGCAATCAGCGCATGACCCAAAGTGGGGCGTCGAGGCGCGCGCGGTCCGAACTTCGGGTCATCCATCCCACTGCATGCGACCGTCAGTCAAAATGTTCCCCCGACCAATCATAATGCACTGCGACCCCATGTTCAGTACCACTCTGTAGACGACCGTCTTCAGTTGACTCACGCCCATCAATGTCAAATTTGCACCTCCCAAACTTGTAAAAAAACCCGGTAACAATTGTGTGACACTTTTTACAGAGCCACAACACGACTCCACACAGTTTGAGCGCTACGCAAAGGATCCCCATATACAAGCAACCAGCCGCTCCACGCCAAGACGCCCACAACAAACGCGCTCCCAGCAACTGCGCGATCCAGTAATGAACCGAATGCGAGCGCCCACGGCTCTTAATGCGTTAAGCGCGTCCTCTCGGCTTTTATAGCGCGGCCATAAACCATGGTCAGCGCACAGGTTCTCATCCTGTGTGTGGCCTTACACCTATGGCATGAGCACCTCCTCACCTCCTGGCAGCGTGTAGTATCTCTAGCCGCATTGGAGTGGTTAACCAATATCCTCCCTATGGCTCAGGCAGAGGATGGGGAGCGCGGGCGACGTGAAACCGCCCGCCGCGAAAGTCAGAAGCGCAAGCGCTAGGAACGGGTGGCCTATTGGGTCGAGGAGATACGCGCCATGTTTGACGAGGAGTTTGAAGACACTTTCCGCATCACGCGGGAAGTACTCGACCTCATCGCTGACAAAATGGCTCATCCAATGTCGCGCTTTGTGGAGGTGAACGAGGTCCCACTATCTCTCTGCTGTCTTATCCCGATCAAATACTTTGCCAGTGCCATGACCTACCACGACATGAGGCTAATGTTTGGGCTGACAAGGGGCCTCATCCACCGCCTTGTGGATGCCTTCTTGGTCTGGTTTCCCCGCAAGTTCAAGCGGGACTGGGTGCAGTTCCCTCCTGAAGAAGTGCGGGAGGAGATGGCGCTGGACTTCAAGGCCATCAAAGGAGTCCCCAACGTGATTGGCGCGATTGACGGTACACATGTTGAGATTCGCGGCATGGAGGCACACCGTGGGGACTACTACAACAGGAAGTCGGTATACAGTGTGCAACTTCAGGTCACGTGTGATTCAAAGGGAGTCATTTGGGACTACACGGTTGGCAATCCGGGCTCAATGCATGATCAAGGTGTTTTCTCTACATCAGATCTGCATGGCAGGCTAGAGAGTGGGGAAATCGCCCCCTATCAGTTAGTGGGTGACGCCGCATACCCATTGAGGTCCTACATGCTCACCCCCTTGCACGCACCACGTTGTCGCCTTATGAAGAAGTGGGAGCAGACGTACAACTACGTCCAGTCCGCGACCAGGATGGTCGTTGAGCGCACGATCGGCGCACTGAAGGGGCGCTGGAGGCTCTTCTCGCGCAGGCACGAAAGCAAGCTCTGGCGCGTGTGTGCAGGAACGGCCTGCATCATCATCCTGCACAACATGTTGCAGACCGTCAGTACTCCAAGGATGAAAACGCACAACCCCCGACGCTACATATGGGCGGGGCTCCCGAACGGCTGGTGGACTAAGAGCGGCATGGATCGTTATCACTGGCCGAGCCTAGACAACCCAACACTTGCCGATCTGCGCGCGCGCCGACACCACTTTGGCAAGCACATCCATCGGGCTTACCTCAGGCGTCACCGTCTGCCGAGGTCAACGCGCTAAGGCTCGGGCTGCTCTGCCACCTCCTCCGTGAACGCCATGTTGGCGTCGGTAGTGTCGACAGGTGGCGCGAGGTCCGGCGTCGTCTGAGGCGCAGCCTGTTGTGCGTGCGGTGTGGCCATCTGCAATCGCACGCCAGCCTGAAGGGCCGCCATGTTCATGACGGCGACAAGCGTCTGAGTGGAGTCTTGAAGCTGGCGCACCACGTTCGCGTTGGTGGAGTTGATGGCATCGCTCACCAGCTTTGCTGCTGCCATAGTGGCGGTTTCGTATACCCGCCTTCGTTTGGGTGGCGGAGTGTCACCAGCGTCTGTAGGGGAGGGTGTAGGCATAGTTGGTAATAAGGCGGCTTTGTTGCTATTTGATTGCATGTATTTGTTGAGAAGTATAATGCAAGAGTGGTCAATTGCAGTGACTCACGGTAATACTTAGGCATTAGACCACGAACACTGCCTTTCCAACCCAACACTAACCTGGCGTTCTATTTGCCCGACGGCCACCGCGTTGGAGTTCCAGAGATGATGGGCCCGACGTCTCACGCTCGGTGGTGCCGGGCACCGGGGCGTATGCAGGGACGTCCACGGTGGCGGCGCCTCCTCCGTCCAGTGCGTGAGCCTTCGCCTTGGCCGAGTGCTTCTTGAGATTATACATGTACTCCCACCACGGCTTTTTCTTGATTGCTTTCCCGCCGCTCTGCCCTTCACCACGTTTCGTTTTTAGGTACTTTTTCTCCAGGCGTTTCCACGCGTTCGACATCTGCCCCTCATCGCGGTTCCACGAGGCGTCCCCTTCGACGATGTGTGCACGCAGTTTCATCCAGTACTGACTCCCTTGCTTGCCCTGCATCGCTTTCAAATCGTCCTTTGTGTTCCAGCGTGCGGCCGCGAGGGTGGCCAGCTCGGCGTCCGACCACACCCGCTTATTGCGCGGTGCAGGCGGGCGCTTCTCCTTCTTCGACGCGCGTGTGCTGCGTTCGTCGCCGCTTGCCTCTTCACCGCCGTCCTCATCCTGGCCGTCGTCGTTGCTCCCATCCTTGTAGTTGTCGGAATCGGCTTCGCTGTCTGATTCCGAGACGATCTCTTCGAGATCGTCGTCGCTGACGTCAGTGTCGGCGCCATCGTCGTAGTCACGCCGTGCGCCTCCGCTAGTGGATGCGCCGGCGGAGTCACGCTTGGCCTTTGCCATATGCTTGATTGACGGGGACGGCTTCCCCTGCTTCTTCTGCTCTTTCATCCATGCGACATACTGTGGGTCCTCCATAGGCTCATCGTCGCTAAATCTATCTTTCCCCTTGCCGCGCGTGCTCCGGCGTGGGGGCATTGCTCTACTATGGACGTGAGCTGGGGATAGGTTGCGGGAGAGTAGAGAGAGTTCTGGTGGGCTTGTATGAAGTTCTGGATGCGATCTATGCTTTGTGGAGTAACCTTAGGGCCTCGGAAACCAAAGGGGTGCGAAATTGTAGCCAAGTTTGGTGGTTGGGTGGCGTTGTGGAACCGCGCAGATCTGAATGTGACTTTTCCCGCCGGGAATTTTGACGGTGTGGTGAGTGGGTTGAGTGTCGCGTGGGCCGGTAGGAGTGTTTCGTGTGTGGTGGTTTGGCCCGGCCCGATTGGGAGCGACGGTTGACGGGAGTCGCTTTCTGGGCGGGGAAACGTGCGCGCCAGTTTACGGGTCGCTCACGCACGAAGGCCCCGAAGTGGTGTTATGTGCAGTTTGGGTCATCCGCAATTTGCGCATGCCCGGAACAGTGCTCATGACCCGAACCTGGATACGCCCTAAGTGCGCCGAATGAGTGAATATCGAGATTGTTGTGATAACAAAAGACTGACGATAATATAGGGGGGGAGACCTAACTAGGTGAGGAGCACGGGGAAAGTAGGCTTGGGAGTGTACCGATTATTGCGGGGCGACTCGTGGTGGTTTGGGCCGAAATTGTAGGCCGAGCTGGTACGAACCCCTACGAACTCTACCCGCTAAAGTGCGACTAAAAAAAGGATCCTTACGTTAGTACTATATTTTCTAGTTCAGGCTTGCATGTCCTTATATGATTATCACATTATTCAATAAAGTATTATAGCTAGAGTGAAAGTACTATTTATACTTGTGGTGTTCTGTGGACACTGGCAGAGGGGGGGCGAGGGGAAATAGGTAGCTTCCCTCTCTGCGTTTTTTTGGTACGACACTTTGGTCGGCCTGTAAAACCATGCCGAGCCAGCCATTTGCCCTCCGACGTAATGGAAGGTAAATGATGATAGAACGGTCATTTACCCCCAAGGATGCACATTCATACGATGTGTTATGATATGAAATTACATGAGAAGGCATTCCTATAGGCTACAGGAGCCGACTCTACCGAGTACGAAGTCGATGAGTCAGAAGAGTTGAAGCGACGCAGTAACCGTCTGACCAAGACCGATGCAGGCAGAAACACTTGAAATGAAAAGAGCGGGAACAGGTTTTGAACGGGTTCCCGCGCCGTACGGTTTGAACTTGCTGTAATAAGGGAATGTACCCTTTAGAGTACATGGCTAGCCTAGGTCTTTTCGTATTCCTTCGTATTCTTATATAAACCCGATGTATGCATGATTTTATCAACTCGGTGTCAGAATGTTATTCTCTAGCCTGTAGTGGGGTGCTCTATAGCGAGTACAGCCCATCTAGGTTTTGCTATATGTATCCTCATTGCTGCTAGTGAACCCCTCTTTTGCCTAAACTTCTCTTGCCTAGCTAGGACTTACCTAGCTATGGCTCCTAACTCTACCTACTATTTTCACATGCTATCAGAGCAGGTCGATCCCCTTGGGTCGATCCTGTGGGTGGGCTCACCACCTCACTGCTTCCGCTGCTACTGCCACTCTCTGTGTCGCACGCCCCGTGGCGTGCGACAGATTTTTCATCCCGCCGCGCGCTCGGAGCGTGCGGCGGTTCTCTGCCCGCCGTGCGCCCCGT